ATCTCCAAACTGTGGGGCTGTCCAACAGATTTCCACCGAAGATTCCGCGACGTGAATAGCTTTAACTTCTTGTGGTTCTACAAGAAAATTAAAAGTTTAGAGATGTAATTACAAGTATTTCAAATGTTTGGAGATGTAATTACAAGTATTTCAAATGTCAACACAAGACCGCTGACTTAATTTTTAGAAAACCAGATTATTTTGACTTTGTAATTTGCTAATTTGTCCAGGTAGGGTGAAGGTCCGGGTTTAGCAGGTATGCAAAGTAGACAAGTAACAGCCTAGGGTAGAAAAATCAAGATATTAGATTTACGTTCAATAAAATCAACTATCTCTGGCTCGATTTACAACTTTTGTCGTCTTTTACTGACCTGGAAATTGTGTTAATAAACACTAAGGTTGTAAAACAACCAACTGAAATTAAAATTACTCTCTGCTAAATTTGAGAAACTAGTTAAATAAAAGACGAGGAAAACTAAGCTCTTTTAAAGCTAATTAGTTATAAGTATGACACAAATAGGCCTGCTAAAGTGAAAGTTTAAATAAAAGACGAGGAAAACTAAGTTCTTTTAAAGCTAATTAGTTATAAGTATGACACAAATAGGCCTGCTAAAGTGAAAGTTTAAATAAAAGACGAGGAAAACTAAGTTCTTTTAAAGCTAATTAGTTTTAAGTATGACACAAATAGGCCTGCTAAAGTGAAAGTTTAAATAAAAGACGAGGAAACTAAGTTCTTTTAAAGCTAATTAGTTATAAGTGTGACACAAATAGGCCTGCTAAAGTGAAAGTTTATTATACATGTTGCGAAATGTTGATCATTTAATCATTACTAACTTCGACCAGATCAAAGCTAAAATCAACCCATTAGAAAGTATAGGTAATTAAATATATTTTTCTTACGTTCCTACTTATAAAGTTTAGAAAGTACTCTTTCAACATTTGGGTACCCACGCAGTTAACGATATTTTTGGCCGTAAACCTATTAACATCTTTTGAGACTCGTCCACCTTATAGGAGATTTAGGTTTGTCCTAAATCCTTATGCTGAGCTAACAATGCAAAACAGAACACATAAATATTAGTTGTTAGTGTTAAGTACTGTCATAGATTTGATGTTCATTGAATAACATAACATCAGTATAACCGTGTATAAACAAAACTTTCCACACATTAAACAGCACTGACAGTGTAACTTTAGAAGATCCTGACATAGGTAGTAAAGTAGGTAAGATGTAGAGCCAAGTAGCAAGATAGTACCAATAATGTAGCCTAAAACTAATATTTATGAAAATGCAAATTAATAAATTAACTGAATACCTGAAGAGGTATAACATTGGAACTCCAATCAAAATGTTATCTTGTTAAATGTAATAAAAAGAAAAACAATATATTAAGCATACTTTGAGGTGTTCTAACGCAACTGATTCTACTTTAACTACTTATTTCACTATATATGAAGCAGGCAACAGGGAGTAATAAATAAAGTTAAATCTGTAAAAGCCGAAAAGTAAACATGATAAGGTTCGAGAAAAATCAATAATAGGACTTGGAAAGGAATTTTCAATAATGGTAAATACGACAATTAATATAATTTGCAAAAACTAATGTAATACTACCAGTGGCTTAATATTACACTATGTGTAAAACTGTTAATGTAGCTTGGTAACAATATAGTAAGAGCGTAAACTAACGGAAGGTAAAAACTAATGTAATACTACCAGTGGATTAATATTACACTATGTATAAAACTGTTAATGTAGCTTGGTAACAATATAGTAAGAGCCTAAACTAACGGAAGGTAAAACTAATGTAATACTACCAGTGGCTTAATATTACACTATGTATAAAACTGTTAATGTAGCTTGATAACAATATAGTAAGTACCTAAACTAAAGGAAGGTAAAACTAATGTAATACTACCAGTGGCTTAATATTACACTATGTGTAAAACTGTTAATGTAGCTTGGTAACAATATAGTAAGAGCCTAAACTAACGGAAGGTAAAACTAATGTAATACTACCAGTGGTTTAATATTACACTATGTATAAACTGTTAATGTAGCTTGGTAACAATATAGTAAGTACCTAAACTAAAGGAAGGTAAAACTAATGTAATACTACCAGTGGCTTAATATTACACTATGTGTAAAACTGTTAATGTAGCTTGGTAACAATATAGTAAGAGCCTAAACTAATGTAATACTACCAGTGGCTTAATATTACACTATGTGTAAAACTGTTAATGTAGCTTGGTAACAATATAGTAAGAGCCTAAACTAATGTAATACTACCAGTGGTTTAATATTACACTATGTGTAAAACTGTTAATGTAGCTTGGTAACAATATAGTAAGAGCGTAAACTAACGGAAGGTAAAACTAATGCTAATCATTATCTTATTATTAGTTCAGTATTACCTTAAACAATTCCTAAAAAATTAAAATGTAGACGTGTAAAACTTTTAACTCCACCAAGAACATTGTTGAATTTCACACAACGTTTCGTGAATTTTATGTGCAAATTGCAATAATAAAAACCTTCTTTGTGAACAATGTGTGTGAGCTTACGAGCTCTGTTCACGAAATCTCATAATCCAGCTCAAATTTTATTACATCTGATAAGCTATGAGTAATATAATAGACAGATTATAACCTCAAAGTCGAATGTGGCCGTTTTATTGTGGACTTGGATATTTGTTTAACCATGTTGACGACTAAATCAAGATTTTGTGCTTTGGTGTGTCTGTGTGTGTGTGTGAAAGAACCTTTTTACATGCAGACAACGGTGCAGGTTTCCGCCGGGGTCAATATTACAAAACCTTACCTGGGACAGGAAAATACTTAAAGTCGACCCAAAGAGAACGTATTCGGTTAGGATAATAAGTAACTTATTGACTGTGAATGTAAAGGTCGTTAATATAATAAATTAGCCTTTGTGTATCATCCAAATTAGTACAGATTTTATAAAGTTATACGGCATGTAGACAGTCAGTGTATTTTTGCTGTTCGTAACTACTGCTCTCAGATTCCCAACGTATGGCTCAGTGTTCGTATGTATATCTGAAGTGTATACTGGCCATATCATCCAACACGTGTGAAACAAGATGATCCACATGCTAGCGTAGTCAAGTGGCATTTTTCAGCGTAGGGTTATTCGTTGTTAATTATGTCATCAACCCATTTCACTCTTATGTTTTTTGTATAGAAGTAATGTACAGAATCAAATCTAATACAAACATCTTATAAGTAAGGCCTATTTAAAATGCAATGTAATGTACTTGCGGTTAGTTTTCTTCAGTGATGGGCATAGCATGCGATGGGGTGGGGGTATCATATGACGATGGAGAAGATTGTAATGCATTACGGGGATGGGGAGGTGTATAAGAACGCAGATTTCTGCCCAGTGCTGTGCAGGGATGTAATAACACCATTCTTGTTAGTCAAGCTGTAATAACACCATTCTTGTTAGTCAAGCTGTAATACCATCATTCTTGGTAGTTAAGGTGTAATAACACCATTAATGTTAGCCAAGGTGTAATAACAACATTCTTGTTAGTCAAGTTGTAATAACACCATTCTTGTTAGTTAAGGTGTAATAACACCTTTCTTGATAGCCAAGGTGTAATAACACCATTCTTGTTAGCCAAGTTGTAAGAACACCATTCTTGTTATTTGTTATTACACCTTAACTAACAAGAATGGTGTTATTACAGCTTGACTAACAAGAATGGTGTTATTACACTTGACTAACAAGAATGGTGTTATTACACCTTGGCTAACAAGAATGGTGTTATTACAGCTTGACTAACAAGAATGGTGTTATTACACCTTGGCTAACAAAAATGGTGTTATTACACCTTGACTAACAAGAATGGTGTTATTACACCTTGACTAACAAGAATGGTGTTATTACACCTTGCCTTTCTTGATAGCCAAGGTGTAATAACAACATTCTTGTTAGTCAAGTTGTAATAACACCATTCTTGTTAGTTAAGGTGTAATAACACCATTCTTGTTAGCCAAGGTGTAATATCACCATTCTTGTTAGCCAAGGTGTAATAACACCATTCTTGTTAGTCAAGGTGTAATAACACCATTTTTGTTAGTCAAGCTGTAATAACACCATTCTTGTTAGCCAAGGTGTAATAACACCATTCTTGTTAGCCAAGATGTAATAACACCGTTCTTGTTAGTCAAGCTGTAATAACACCATTCTTGTTAGTCAAGATACCTATTTATAATGAATCTCAAGGGACCGGCTTCTAAATTTGTAGTTTCCGTTTTTTACCAACCGTCCGTAAATGTACAGGTAGTCATAATTGAACAAGAAATTAAAAACAAAAAATGGGTCACATGCTATAAAATTTGAAAAGTTATCCAAAACTTAAAAAAAGGGGGAAAATTGTAGACACCCCCCATTTTTTTTCATAGAATGCGCTTGAAAACCACGCTGCTTAGCCACGTGCCAGTTATCGATATATTTTAACGGCTGCTTTCTTTTGTTTTATCTAGTAATAATTATCTCATCTCCCCCTCCCCCAGTGACACAGCGGAAAGTCTGAAGGTTTATAATGCTAAATAACGAGTTTCGATACTCGTGGTGGGCAAAGCACAGATAGCCCGTTGTGTAACATTATACTTAACTACAAACAAACAATTATCTAATTAATTACATTTGATTATAGGTTTGATCCAATATTGTTTTATACATAAGTACACGGCATATTGTTGGCTGCCATCTCGTTACAATGTCCTTTTCTGAATATCGTTTTCTGTAATACCTTAGACTGAAGTAAGCATCTTTTGATTTTTTTGTTACCTTGACAACCAAATTACGAACTAAAGTGTTGTTAATTACGTTGAAATATCAGTGTGACGCACGCGATCGTATTGCAGGTCTAGGAGACCCAGAGTCTTGCATGGAGAAGAATGTGGCCACCCTGGTTAAAGTAATTGTTGTTTACATTTTATTGTTTAAAGTTTTCACATTCCTGCTCTTCCAGAAATGATAGTCCATAGGCCAGCATTGCGCAACGCACGACTAGGGGAATGCGCGGAGAGTCAGAAGAAGTGAATCGTAACGCGCAAGTGCAATTGATGCTGTAAAATCGACGCACGAGACTCTTTCATTTCGAAGTGTGAATCTGTCGGCACAGTCAGTTCGTTGTTTTAACAGTCTGTTGAAAAATCGTCGTCGTAACGATGGTTGGGTTTGTTTTTCTCTCTCTCACGGAATGGAATTCCAATTCATTTCTACCAATGACTTTGACCAAGGGCGTAGCTAGCAATACCGGGTGGGTGGGAAATTGTTTCGAGAAAAAAAAACACGAAGAAACGTGGAATTTCTTCTTCAGAAATAATTTAAGTGACTTATGTGAAAGTCAAGTGTTTATTTAAAAAGCCAGAAGTTTATGGGCCTTTTAGATGCTGGTTGACGCTAACTTTTTTATGTTTCAAATTATATCAGCATACCGTTTTGGAAAATATGCTGCTTTAAGCATAATAGTGACGAAGAACCACTTTTTAGAAAATCAAAGTTTGGAGACGACTTGGTGACATAATCTTGTCGAAATGTTATACATTTATAATAAAGTTTATTTCATTACCCACTCAAGTCGTATCCCAACATTTATTTGTGTAGTACTAGACTGAAAATACAGGGTGGGCCATAATTATATACCGGTTAATCACGACACAGTACAGTACCTCGTTGCTCCACGTGATCTCATCTCACACGACACAGTACAGTACCTCGTTGCTCCACGTGATCTCATCTCACACGACACAGTACAGTACCTCGTTGCTCCACGTGATCTCATCTCACACGACACAGTACAGTACCTCGTTGCTCCACGTGATCTCATCTCACACGACACAGTACAGTATCTCGTTGCTCCACGTGATCTCATCTCAGTTAGCGACGAACCAGTAACTGTGACGAGCGTGCGGCACAACAGAACAGTGAAGAAAAAGACTGCTACTGGGATATCAGGTTAGCACATAAAGGGGTACAGGAGTATGGCTCACCCTGTGTAGTCCTAACAATTTCCAAAACTAACAAAAACTATTAATTAGTATTATTATATTTTCAAAAACGAAATTATTTTTGCAACTCACACTATCAAATATATTTTGTATGCGATACTTTCTGAGACATTTGAGTTAATATATTATAAAGTCTTGATAAATTGTGTCTTTAATATGGCCCCTCAGACGGCAGCGCCACTAGAGCATTGTTATCGATATTAAATTCCGATCAGAGCAAGGTGCCAACTTAACTAAAAAATAACATTATACATCAATCCGATGATCAGCGTAAGTAATTAAATATACCGCTTATAATGTATTGTTTCAACAGTTGGTGCTATTAACGAGGTTCAGTCCGTTTAGGGGATTTAGGTTGGTCGTAAAATTATATATTAAGTTAAAATTGCAAAATAATCTGTATAATAAAATTATATAAACATCGTAAAATTATATATTAAGTTAAAATTGCAAAATAATCTCTATAATAAAATTATATAAACATAACTAGATATCTTAAACAATGTAACTAATGCTGTTACTGAAATTAACGCTGAAGAAAGAGGTGATTTTAGTTATGAAACCTACAAACACTAATTCTTAGCTTGTACTTAGTAGATTTAATGTTCGTTGAAGAACGTAACATTAGTATAACCGTGTATAAGTAAAATCTGTCATAACCCCCCTTGATAACGTCATGTGACCAATGAAAACGACCGTGTAACTTTAGAGTAGCCTGACAACTGAGACACATGGTACTGTTTAGTTGTAGAGTAAAATAGCAGTTCAGTTCCAATGATGCAGCCATAATCTAATACTTATGAAGATACAAGATAATAAGTAGGAAGTTCGATGAAGAACCGAATCGTACAATAAATATTGGTAATCTAATTAAAATACGACCGTATTAAATCTAACAAAAAAAGTAAAATAACATATTATACACATTATGGAGTATTTCTAGCACAAAAAAATTCGACTTGAACTAACCTCAACAAGACAGACCGAGAGGGTAACAGGAAATAACAAATAAAGTTAAATCATCCCTAACAGTCGAAAAGTAAACGTGATAAGGTTTGAGAAAGTTCTGTCATAGGACTTGGAAAAGGAAGTAACAACAATGGTAAATACGACAATTAAAGTATTTAGCAAAAACTAATGAAAATAATGCTAGTGAGCTTACGAGGTCTGTCCACGAAGTATTTTAATGTTGAATAAAATATATTTTATCTGATAAGTTATGAGTAATAAACATTGTAATATAACGTATTTGGAATACTTGTATTTGGAACGTTTATAGCTTCAAACTTAAGTGTCCGCTTGTTTGAAAAATGTGATCTTCAATACTTGATCAACGATGGTAATATATAAATACAAGTAAGGCTTTGTTTTTACCAGAGTGGGTTCTAGTATACAAGTTCGAATAAATATAAAACTGTGACTGAAGTTACCTCTCATTGGAGTTCCTTGTATGTGTTCGATAAAACTACGGACTGAAGTTACCTCTTATTGGAGTTCCTTGTATGTGTTCGATAAAAGTACGGACTGAAGTTACCTCTCATTGGAGTTCCTTGTATGTGTTCGATAAAAGTACGGACTGAAGTTACCTCTCATTGGAGTTCCTTGTATGTGTTCGATAAAAGTACGGACTGAAGTTACCTCTCATTGGAGTTCCTTGTATGTGTTCGATAAAACTACGAACGAGATAAAATGTCGCTTAGTTTATAACAGCATTAGCTTTCATCATAATTCTCCATCTAGTTTATTCAGAAAACGATTCGTTAACTGCATTCCAAGGCTGGTCGTGGCCTGCTGTCCAGCGTGTCCTGGCTGTGACTCCCAGGACCATTCGTGTTCGCAACCAGTTGTCTTTAGGTCGTGACTGAGATATAGGAGTGGCAGTCAAACTCCAGTATTCAAATACAGAGAGTTGGCGGTGGATGCTTTTGACTAGCTACCTTCCTTTCAGTCTAGCGATTTAGAATTAGAAATGACTAGCACAAACATATATTACTTAGTTTTGCACGAATATTTGAATCAGGGGCACGCGGGCGTGTTTGTTTCTATATATGCGAATCTGGGACACGCGGGCGTGTTTGTTTCTATATATGCGAATCTGGGACACGCGGGCGTGTTTATTTCTGTATACATGAATCGGGGACTCTGAAATTTAAAAAAAGTAAAAACGTTTCTCAGTCTTATAGCGATATATATGAAGAGAGGTCTTATATTTCCCATTACTCGTTCTTTTCAAACATGAATATATAATTATTGATGTCTATATAATGTGAAGATATAATTATTGATGTATATATAATGTGAAGATATAATTATGATGTACTATATAATGTAGAA